CCCGCGTCTCCTGCATCGGCAGGCGGACTCTCAAGCACTGCGCCACCAGGGAAGCCCTAATTTTTGTCCCTTCTTTAAATCCAAAGGTATCACAGTCAATGCCATATAGTAATGATGGAGAGTTAAAAGACATGAGTTTTTTGTAACCCTTTAGATATTAACTTAGTACCTCAAATCATTACCCTCCTACATAATTTTAGAAATGCTGAATATAAAATGTAATAAGGTATTTAAAACAGCATTAACAATTAATGTTATATATCCATATCAAAAATTAACATGTAATATATTATAAAAGATATTTTAGGATATTATGTAAATGTGATCTTTTCTAAAACTTTACATTTTTTATTTACAACTGTGCAGCATAAATAATATAGTGGGAGAAGCACGGGACTTAGAGTAACACAAATCTAGATTGAAGTCCATTTTGTATCTGATTTTGGTGACATTCCTTTAAGTCTCAGTCTCAGTCATATCTTTTGTGAAGTAGGGCTAATAACTACCTTGAAGAATAACTGAGAGGATAAATGAGATCTAGAAGTATATCGAAATGCTTTGTAAATTGTAAGGCACTATATGAATGTTAGTTGTTACTTTAATTGGTATAAAGCCAACTCATAGGCCCTTCCCACTGTGGATCAAACATTTTGTAATCTACCCACTTAAGGAGGCATTTTAAAATTTATTTTTTAAATAAGACAATATTTAGCTATAAATAGTTAAGAAACTGTCTGCCATCTCTAATTTTAAGGGACATTCCAGAACTGAACTTTCTAGCCTGTTTAGAATCTTCTCCTGTTAAAACAGGTTGATTTTATTTAGAATAGATTTTTGTACTCTTGATTATCATGAAAATATTGCTGATTCCCCATTACATACTTAACATTGTATGGATGATTATAGCAACTTAGCATTTTCACTGTTGCATCATCCTGTTCATTAAAACCCTAAGAAGAGTTTGAATTTTAGAAAATAACATTATCCTTATAATTAAGATTTGGCTCATAAATATGTAATATTCATAGTAAATCTAATTTCTTTTTACAGCAATTAAAGATTATTCTAAAGATGAATTCTGCCTTGCAACAAAAAAGGTCATTTGTGACCCCTCGGAGACTAGCTTGGCAACAAATCCCAGCAGTGTTACCTTAAGCTTATCAACGTTACCATCTGATTCTTATTACAGCCAAAGTATAGAAGTAGCTGATGACTGGTTTTCTGATGATTCCCTAGTGAAAAAGAGCCCTCCAATGCCTTTTCTCGGGGAGTCTGTAATGGAGAAAGTATTTTCATACTTGTCAACCATTTCATTAGAAGAATGTACTGGAAACGTACTAAATATGACACTTTATGATGGTCAAAAAGATGACAACATTAAGGGAGTATTTACACGAAGAAATACAGAGGTTGAAATACAAAACCTTCAACATAATATTGAATGACTTTTTTCTTTTGAAACTTTGTGTACAATGAAATCATGTAACGTTAAAACTGAATTACCAGCTTCTGAGTCTCTTAACATGTCCATGCTAATATTGCTTTTCTTGATCTTTACCAGAGAGTGGTCCTACTTCCCTTGCCAATTATTTCTAGAAACAAAATTACAGGAAGAACTAGAGCAATATCATAAACATTAAGTTTAACTCCTTGTGTCTCATCAAAGGACATAATAAATAATAGGAATGTGTTTCAACACATAGGAGAAATACTTTAAGAAATCTTCAGCACAAATACATTTTTAATAAAACATTTGCAGCATTTCTTTATACTTTGACATTTTCAGTTTTATTTCAATGTGGGTAAGGCTGGGCAGAATACTTCCGTCAGCTATTCTGAATTTTAAATACATAAATCACCTACCATTTAAATCTTATTATGCCAAGACTTTTGTAAGCAATATACCTTTGCTCCTCTAGGGGAGCCTGGAACACTGTGAAGAATACAGAAAATAATTTTCTTTGCCCTTTCCCATGTCTGTTTCTCAGAATAGCCCTCCAGCCCTTACCCCACTATGATGAAGACGTGAGCAGCTATGTTCATAGACATGTGACTCAAGCTAGATGAACCAGAATTCCTCTCTAATTTGAGAGACCCTTGGTCAAATTTCTATTTATGGTGCTGGGGGATTTCTGACACCCACCCTGTAATTAATCTCTTTTAATCTCTTTCTCACAAATACTCTTCATGTAATTAGTCTCTGTTTTTCTTTCTCTTGGGAAAAACAATTAACAAAATATAATATTAACTTTTGTGCTTAAAATACTCATACCAGGACCTGTGCATATCTTCCCAAGAGATAAATCATGCCTATTACAATAAATGAAAAGAAACTTGTCTCAAATATGGTAGTAGCATTATCCAGGCTGATCACTTCTCTCCTAGGGGGAATATTAAAAAGTATTAGAACACCTCTCTCTGTTGAAGCACCTGGTCATTTCTACTGGTTATAGTTGTGAGAACATCTCATGGGTTGTGAGAGCATCTCTCTATATCCATTCCTAAATCAAAATAAGCTATTTCAGCTCAAAGTTTGTAAGGAGTGGTAAAAAGTATTTTGAATTGGTCTCTGTCTCTTGGTGTTCTACCAACTTCTATCTTACTATGTCAGAGAAGAAAGTCATCTCTAAATCTGGTAAGATTCTAAAGCTTCCCTAGGAATTTGGGGTTGAAGACAAGAGATTCTAGCCTTGGTCTGACTAATCTCTGGAATACAGGAAACATAAATTAGGTAGCTATGAGTTGCCATGTCCCACCCTGTGGTTTAGAAAGAAAAGAAAAGCAGGAAATCTGCAGTGAGAGAGCAGTGAAATATTTGCAAAGTGAAGAATAGAGATGAGAGATCAGGAGAATGTGATTCCTGGCTTTCTAACTGTGCTCCATTCCCTTGTTCCAGCCCTTCATGTTTCCCACCCTTGGCTTACTAAGGCAACTTTGTATCCTAATTATAAATTCCCCTTTTTGCTTAAGCTAACAAGATTTGATTGCTGTTACTAGCCACCATCCCTGAGCCCTGTTTTTAACTGTTTTTCTTAGCTTTGATAAGGTACCCTTGTAATTTTTAAATAAATTACCTTTTTTGCATAAAGGAGAATTTTGTTTCTGTTACTATAACCAAAGCATCCTAACCAAATTCTTGTCATTACAAATGAGAAATAAAGAGATCTATGCATTTAAAGTAATTGTTACACTGTAGTGATAGAATAAACTGAATTTATTTCTTCAAAACCTAATACATTTACTTGTTTATTAAAATGTTACTTTGTATCATAGGTATATACATTGTTCTATTCGAAAAGCCTAATGAGCAGTTCATATGAAATTACACCAGTCTAAAATAATCTTATTTTCAAGAACTGTGAAGGATCTGAGATTTCACCATCCATGCCAGCTGACAAGTTAACCTGCAACAGTTTCATGTCTCTTAGGTCAGCGACAAAGGACAGTCATAGCAATAGTAATAGCAATAGCCAAAATATCATCATTTTTGCCTCATTTCCTGAGCCCCAGTTCCCACGGGGCAGTAGTAAAAGGCCCAAATAATACCTGCACAGTGGATTGCATAACGGGAAAGGAACACTGAGTGAGGGAAACAGATATTTTATAATGGGTAGTAAGCATACGTGCCCTTTGTACCATAGGAAGCCACAATATATTCCAAGACTCTTTGCTAAATAAACATCCTTGAAAAGAGTTTGGCAGTCTGTGTCTCTGTTCACAGGCATGAAGAAATACAAGAGATCCATAACTAACATTGCCATAGGGTGTTGGTTACAGTTTTTTTTTTAATCACAAATACCTGGAAATCAACGCAAATTAGCTTAGGAAAAATTTTTTATTTTGTAAATAGCATCAAATAATGGTTAAGCAACTAAATACAGGAAACACAAGGTTGTAACTGGGCCTCAGGAACAGACAGAACAGGCTCAAAGTCCATCAGGAATTTCTCTATTCATACCAGTCAAGTTTGATTGGGGAAAATGAACCACTATCATGAATGAGAAAAGGGATTTATTACAGGAATTATCTTACATGTTGTAAGAGAAGCTGGGGAAGTGAAGTAAGTTTAGGAGAGAAGTCGGAGAATCAGAGAAGTCACCAGTCAGATAATCTGAGAAGCCACCTTGTCCAACTGCCACAGTGAGGCTGTGGAGTGGGGGGAGAGGGGTGGGGGAAAGGCTTGTGAGAATATCTACAGGAAGATGTGCCTTTGAGTAGCTACTGCCTTGACAGTATTTTGCCAACTCTCTGGTGGTGACCCTGGGGCCATTGTTTGTCAATAGGGTCAGCAGTTAGGAGGAAAAGCTGGACATTGGGAAGAAGGACTGGAAACACGACAGAGGAGAGTGAGGGCAATTTGGAACCCATTGTCCCCTCTGCTGTTGCCACATCTAAGCATGATGACCCTCACAGAGAAATGGCTTCTGCTTAAATTCTGCCTTCCAAATGTTGCACATATTCCTCTCTTGGCCAACTCTAACCCAGAATTATACAGGGAAAAGGATACTGGGAAACATACTTCGAGCTTAATGAGTTAACAGAGTACAAATCACTTCAGTCCACTCATCAGTTTGGCATTCATTTACACTTTAACAATATTTAAAACTTCTGTATAACAAAATAGCAATCATGTTCTTACGTTCCATGATGCAAGATCCCTCCTATAATAAAAAATACACCAACACTCTCCCCAGTGGAGGATACATAGTCCCCTATGTCACTTTATCCATATTTGAGTGATGTTTCTAGTGAGACAGATCTCCATGGATATCCTGTAACCTAAATAATGAAATATAAGGTTAGCCACTATTCACGTGTGCTAGTAGGGGAATGAGATAGGCGAAGAAAAGAACAAGAACTGGTATGTATTCATTTCAAAGTAGGAGTGAACTGCCTGTAACTCCTACCATCATTTTTGTAACTTGTCACATGGTCACAGCTGAGACAGAAAGTAAAGTATTCACTACTGGATTACCAGGAGTAATAGAAGAGTCACTCTCATTTTCACCCTTTCTCTCTTGGACCTGAGAATCCTAGCCAAGAGACAAACATCTTAGTACCTGAACATATACCACATCCTGGAGGATATTATCTGTCTGGGCCATGAAAAGTATTGCCACTAAAACTGGGTCTTCAAAAAGTGCCCCCCACCAACCTCCACACCATTCTATCAGTTCTTGCTTTGGGTAATGGGAAAAATGGTAAGAAGAGTTAATTCCATGAGCATGACCCTACTAACATACTTCATTTGATGTTAAGTAAAATTATTTTCTGGTCAGAAACAATCTTTTCAGATACCATGATGGTGAATGTGGTACCCTGAAATCCAGGGATGGTGGTAATGGGAGAAGCACGGTGGTCTAGAAAGGCAAATCCATATCCAAAGTGAGTGTATATTCCAGTGAGAACACAGGTGATGTCTTTCTCTTGGTAGAAGTGGTCTGATGTAATCAACCTCTTACCAAGTGGCTGACTCATACTCCCCCCAGGGAATGGGAAATCAGTGTTGGTCTCTGCTGTTGGCAGATGGGGCTCTCAGAAGTGGCTATAGTCATGTCAGCCTTAGTGAGTGGAAGTCCATGTTCCTAAGCCCATGAGTAACTTTCATCCCTTCCAACATGGCAAGTTTATTCATGAATCCATTGGGCAAGAACAAGGGTAGCTGTTGGAAGAGGATGACTAACATCCATGGAACAGATCATCTTGTCCACTTGATTATTAACGTCTTTTTCTGATATTGCCCTTTGGGGAGCATTTATGAGGGACTCAAATTTATCTTCACATTCTGTGCCCATTCAGAGTAATTTACCTACATATATCTTCCTTAGACTCCTTGTACTCCTTACAAGTCTGCAACCATCCAGCCAAATCATTAGCCACTGCCAATGAATCAGTGAAAATCTATACAGTCTGAACATTTGTTCTTCCAGGCTATACAGATAGGTCACTGCTCAGAGTTATGCCTACTGAGACTGTCTTTCACTACTGCCCATCAGAGCCGTACATGAGCAGGGCTATGGTACTCCAGCTGTGAATTTTTAGCTGATGCTGGCATACCATGCAGAACTATCTGTGAACCAGGGTCAAGGATTTTCTTCCTCAGTCAATTGGTGACAAGTCATAGATATATGTTGAAAGAGAGAAGACCATGCAGCAGCAGTAAGAGCCACAAGTATATTAACCATTTCCTCATACAATTCCTTTGTGCCTTCAGAATCCACTCAAATTCAATTTTATATGTTTTAATGCCATTTTTGATCTAGTGTAGATCTGTATGCCTAACTTTATGTATTAGTGAATCAGAGAACATCCAGTTCATGGTGAGCAGCTCAACTCAAAGGTAACTTGGTGGCCATGGTCACATGGTAAGTCTCTACTAGTCTAATGGCAAGCTAGGTGGTGTTTCCAAAAGGAGAATAATTATTGGCAGGGGATAATATAGCTTTGTTTGGAATCCCATAAACTCTGATCAACCTATATTTGCCTGCTAAAGTCTTCATACAGTATCCCTATCTGCCAGACACTT